AAGGAAGGAAGGAAGGAAGGAAGGAAGGAAGGAAGGAAGGAAGGAAGAGGTTATTGAAGATGTGAACAAGCCTACTTAATATTTTCCTTTTGTATTACCCTGTAACTTCTCTAGGCTCTACACTAATATATATATATATATATATATATATATGATAGAACAAGACATACAATTCACTCTGGAAATGATAGAAAGTCAAACAGAGGTAAAGAGAAGAGCTATAAGAAAAATGATCTTTGGCTTAATTAATATAGATTTAATGTAATATGTAATTTTGCAAGCATACCCCAGAAGAACCAAAATAAAAGTTCCCCAAAATAAGTGTTCAGTAATTAGTTGTTATTGTTTTTTTGGTATGTGAGTAGGTTAAGAGAATTAATACTATCTATATTATTATCTAGATTTTCTATATTAATATATACCCAAGTGCTTTTAACAGTGCCTTACAGAGTAAAAAAATTTTAGAAATATTGGATATCATTAATATCTGAAATGTGAACAAAAGTTTAAAAATAATTCAAATGATATAATAACCACAAAACCTAACAAAATTTTTTCTTTGTTTAGCTATGTTATTTATTTATGGTTGTGAGCCTGGCCTCTAACAGCTGAGACATCTCTCCAGACCTTAGCTGTGTATTTAAACCAGACATTTTTGTGTTTTTCTGTCTGTTTTTGAATCCGTGCTAATTCTTCTTTTATTTTATGTACATAGGTATTTTGCCTGCATGTATGTCTGTGGAACATTTGTGTGCCTGGTGCTGGCAGAGGGCAGAACCCTGCAAACTCTTACTCACAGGGTTTATAATTTTTACATGCTTTCATTTGAAATAGTTCATATGCCAGTCCAGAGACTGCTACTTACTTTGAAATCAAAGGTGTAATTGGTATAAGGCATCAAGTTATTTTCATAGGCGCTCTTAAGTTGGAAGCCATGTGTGATTCTCCCTTCTGAGCTTCCATTCTTTCCACTACAGCTGAAGTTCATAAGACACTCATTGTACCTTAGTTCCTTGAAGTCTTTATGGTTGTCAGCTACTCCTCCATTGCTTAAATATTCCACAACACCTAGCACAATAAAGAAAGAAACAATGCCTGATAATATTTAGTGCAAAATGTATCACTGAAGAGTATCACTGTACTCTATAGACACATCAGGTTTGATTAAGTCCTATGAAACCTCAGCTGGGCTTGGTAGTACATGTCTTTAATCCTAGCACCCAAGAAGCAGAAAGGCAGGCTTCTCTGGGTTCCAGGCCAGCTTGGTCTACACAGGAAGTTCTAGGCAAGCCAGGGCTGCATAATAAGAGTCTGTCTCAGAAACAAAACAAACAAAAAAGTGTTCTTGTTGCTGGTGTTTTAAATTTTTAATTTTTAAAACAGCAGCAATTTCATATAGCTTAACTACATTAAAAGGCATTTGCCTATTCCAGAACATAGTATCAGGATCACTTAAGAATATTGTCAATCTTAGCAGTTCTTCAGGTTCAGATGATTTCACCAGAAAGGTTTTGACCTTGTGTGCTTTGGTAACTGTACTCTAAACCACTATCTCTTTAACAATAGTCACAGTAGTCAATTAACATTGTAAATATATAAAAAGAACACTTATAAAAAAAAAAAAAAAAAACAATTACCATGCCTTTAATCCCAGGACTTGGGAAGCAGAGGCAGGCAGATGCTATGAGTTCGAGGCCAGCCTGGTCTACAAAGCAATTCCAGGACAGCCAAGGCTACCCAGGGAAACCCTGTCTCGAAAAACAAAACAAAACTAATCATTTGAAATAAACACAGATTTTTCAACAAGTCAATGTCCAGGGTTAACTTAGAAAATCACCCCCATCACCATCATCATCATCGTCATTTTGAGACAGGGTTTCTCTGAGTAGCCTTACCTGTCCCGATCTCGCTTCGTAGTTTAGGCTGGCTTCAAATTCACAGCAATCTGCCTACCTCTGCCTCCCGAGTGCTGAGATTAAGGGTGTAAATCATCACATCTGACTTACTTTTTTTTTTAATTATTACTTTACTAGTTTATGTATATGAGTGTTTTGGTTGCAAGTCTGTGTATCACACACATGCCTGGTTCCCCCAGAGGTCAGAAGAAGTTGTCAGGTTTCCTGAAATTAGCATTACTGATAGTTGTAAGCCACCATGTGGGTCTAGGAATCAAACCACAAACCTCAAAGAGAACAGACAGTGCTCTAATCACTGAGCCAGCTCTCCAGGCCCTCACTTACTTTGAGCTAGTATGACTTTTAGTCTGACACCTGAGAAGAACATATTATGTCTAAGTAACATTAAATGCCAGAGACCAAAAATGTCAGATGTGTCTAAAAGCAAAAAGGGTAGCAGCTTCAAAAAGTCTCCATCGAAGCTGCAAATACATGTCTTTCATCCCCTTTATAATGTTACCAATAATATTAAATTCATCTATTAGTAATTAAGAATGATAGCAAAATATGATGAAGTAAAATAATATTGGTGTTATGAATAACTCAAAATGAACTGAAAATTATCTAGCATTTATGATGTTAGGAAAACAGACAATTTTAATGAGATCAATAAAACATCTATCCCCTTATTCATAATGAATAGCATGTATAGCTGCTAATAAACAGAATCAAGATACAACCCTGATAGTCTGATTTGAGCCACTGAACTATGTTATGTTTATGGTAACAGTGATATTAATAGCTATTATAAATTGTTTCAGGAAATCATTTGAAATAATACAAGAAAAACTTTACTTTTTAAAGAAATTTAAATAATTATTTTTTTGTAAAGGACTACAAAACAGGGATGTGGGCTGGGGAGACAGCTCAGTCAGGAAAGTGATTGCCATGTAAGCATGAGAGAGCCTGAGTCCAAGCTTCAGAAACCATGAAAAAAAAAAGATCTGCGTGTGGTAGACAGCTCTTGCAAAGCCAGTGCAGACAGATCCCTTGGGCTCATTGGCCTAAGTAGCCTAGCATACTTGGTGATTCCTAGGGCAGTAGGGACCCAGTCTGACAAACAAGGAGGTTGGTACTTGAAGAACACCCAAGGTTGCCTTCTGGTGAGTTGTGTGATCATATACATACACCATGCATACATGCATATACACATGGGAGGCTGGAGGGGGCAGAGGAATTAACAATTGGCCTAAGGGTCAAAACCACGAATTAGCAAATATTTCAGCATTATTTACCATGAACAGGTTATTTTCTAAACTTGGTGACTACAAATTCTAAGCATAGGCATTTAAATTATTTTATATTTGATACTGAGTGACTATTTTGACTAGTCTAATAATGGCTAGGGACATAATTCAGTGGTAGAATGCTTGCCTAACCCAATAAGCTTGGGTTTGATCCCTAGTGGGGGTGGAGATTAAATAGCTTAATAAAAATATGTAATATTTATTTAGAATATATTTTGCTAATAGTACAGACTTATATTCTTTGTTTTGCACCTGAAATTCAGAATCTAAAATGGAGAACAAAGTTTTACAAAGATGAAATTCATGCATAAAGTAGTCCAGTGGTATGATATATAACCTTTCTGGAATTCTGATCATTCTTCTGTACCTAGTAGTAAGTACAGAAAGATCACTGAAAACTTGCCAAGATTACTTAGTGAGACAGCTATCTGTGATGACTAGTCTCTAAAGACTGCCCCTTTTTGCTGAACTCTGTGCTTCAGGAGGTTGATCTTGCATTTATGCAAACATTTCCCTACCCCTACAACTTCTAGCTGAACTTGGTTAATGGGCAGCTTTGGCAGATCAAAAGGCGAGAGCAAAGTGAGAGAGTGGTTTCTCTTCCCCAGCTCCCTTCTTATTATTATGATTTGGCAGGCACTGATTGTATCATTCAATTCCAAGCCATCACACTTCAATTACTGGCCTTCTCCTATAACTATACTTCCAAGTTCTGGTGACAGATCCCACCATTCTTCCAGATAAGAGAAGGAGTAAGAGTGGTTAAAGTACAAAAGCATTCGTTGTTTTGTTTTAAAGCCTGAACACTCCTTTGGAAACAGTTTCCTTATTAAGCTTTTTTCAATCAGTCACTGTCTCATCCTCCAAATTACAACTGATATGTTAAAAGAGTTAGGTGGCCTTTCAACCAAGACTAAAAGTGAAACTGAAAGCAAGGAAAAATGATGTAAATACCTGAATCTGGCAAAGAGTTAAGATCTGCACATAGCACCAGCGGGATGGAATTGGGATCTGCAGTTGGGCTGCCAGGCCTACTTGAGGCTTTCTCCAGAATGTTTTTAACCTCTGAGACAAACATCATGGTCTGAATAAGTTTCACATCAGAATACTCTGGGTCCCAATGCATATGAGCATTTGCCACTATAAGCAGCTGTTTGTCTGCAGCATGAATAGGCTTCATACCTAAATTTAAACAGCATAAAAAAGATGTAGAAAGTTATGTTCATGTTTCTTAAAAAAGAAGAACCTTAAAAGTTTTCTGAAAAAGATCCATAGCTATTTTATTTCTTTTCTATGTATCTTTACTGATTTTCACCTCAAACTTATCTGAGAAGCTAAAGGGCAATTCTGGAAACCACGATATATTAGCTAGTTATTCATCATGATCATACTGACCAATGGTAGCCTATGGACTAAACCTGTTTTACTACATATTTCTATTAGAGCCTATGTGAGCTAAGGACAGTTTTACATTTTGAAACAAACTCTATGTGGCCCATTCAGCCAAACATATTTAGTAGCCAGACCATTAGAGATAGCTTTATAGATTCTTCCTGTACATGCTTAAGTATAGAAATTATTTCATGTATGATCAGTATTTGGGTTATAGCACTTTTCATCTGCTGTGTTCTTAGTTTAAGCAAGCAAGTTTAAATGGTGGGTGTGCATGTGTGTGTGGGGGTCAGAGTATAGGGTCTGTGCATGAGTGCAGTGCCTGTAGAGGCCAGGAAGAATACCTCTGAGCTCTGGGAACTGAGTTAAAGGTGCTGAGAAACAAACAGTCCTCTGGGAAAACAATTCATGTATTTAACTGCTGAACTATCTCTCCAGCACCAAGCAAACACTTTTAAGTGGCTCTTATTTAAATAGAAAAATATTCTAGTGAGAGATGTTTCCAGTTGAATTAACCAATTTTATGAACCTACAGAAAATAACATATGAAAAAAAAATTCGCTATCCAACTAAATTTCCAAATAAAAGTAATTTTAAAATGAAAATGGTGAGAGTGGATATATAGCTCGGCGATTAAGAATACTTGCTAATAAGAATACTTGCTGAACTGAGGCTCAGTTTCTAGCACTGACATCAGACAATAATACAACTCCACTTCCAGGGGATTCAAAACCCCTGCTGGCCTCCCTGGGTACCAGGCATGCACACAGTGCGCTTACACATACGCAGGTATTCACCTTAAAACAAACATTAGGGAATTGTTTGCTCTCAAGAGTCTAGATACTTTCATTTTAGACCTCATTTTATTACTAACTTCTTTGTGTGGACTCAGGCTTGTTAGCCACTTAACATTTTTGAAACTCAGATTAATCTGGAAAAAGATAGTCAACTATACAATTTAAAATTATTTTTCCCAAACTTCTGTTAAAAATAAACATTAACATAGTATTTTTCAAATGGTAGATATGGAAATAAATATAATATAAACTGTGAAAAGTAAACGTAATAGGCACTGGCAGAACAACAATTTCCATTTTAAAATTAACTATTTGGGTAGCAAATTTATTTATTTCATTTTCTGCAGGTTCATACAATACTACTCATTTTTTGCTACTGACCTTTCACTATTAAGCTTGTGAAATGCAAAGTGGGTAAGTACTGCACAGTGGCAAGAAATTAAGTTCAAGGAATAAAATATTATGGTATAATGCCACTTAACACAAACCTATATACATATACTTTAAATGCTTGGATTTATATAAAGAAATGAATAGGAGCTATTTTTAGAGTCTGACTGAAATAAATAATTCTCATTTTTTAAGTTTATGTACTTTTGGGCTGTTGAAGAACACTCCACGTCAATGTTCTATTGAAATTTCCATAACATATTTCAAATTTTTTCTACTGAAATATGAAACTGCTATATAAAACTGAAGAAATACTTCTACGTTGTCTCCTTTAAGTGTTAATGTCACTTTTGGCTATAAATGAACATTTATTATGTTAAATATTAAAAAAGTGTCCCCCCAAAAGCCATTTGCCCACTAAATTTCCCTTTTACCAGGAAAGGCACATATTGTAGTAAGTAGAAGTATGTACCATATAATTTAGAATTACTCTTCTGTAAATTAAAGAGGTAAAACTTCAAAAGAGAACATTATTATAAAAGCAAAACAAAACATACCAGAAGAACAATGTGATGAAAAAAGACATAAAAAGTTTGAAAAGGCTAAAAAAAAAAGAAACACAAAATCTCACATTAAAGATTGATTGTTTAATGATAGATAAACTAAAGAACTGTAGAAAAAGAAATCTGACACTATGTATAGTCTAAATAATGTAAACTAGTACTCAAGGTGAAGTTTTTCTTCTACAGGACAAACAGAAAGAGCAGTGCACCAATTTGGCCTTAGCACCTTGTTCTTGCTTCAGACATTAGAGCAGTCCGAGGCAGGCAGCAGAGAGGCCAACAAAAAACCTTGATAATGCCAAGTACACAATGAGTTTCTAACTCTCAGGGAGCTATAAATAACCTAAAAACCCTGAAAAGCATCACATAGACACAGTCTTGAGATTTAACAAAGAAATTAAAGAAAACATGCCAACTATTTAACCATAAAAACAAAGGGTTCACACTTACGAAGCTAAAACTACATAAAAGAGGAGAAAATCAATCTAATTTCTAATCAAGCCTAATCTACTTCAAATAACTTTTTCAATTAATGGTATGTTAAATGGGCAGATATTACCTCTTAAGTAAAAATGCTGATAAAAAACTGTAGAATGTATCAAGAAATCACAAGAAATACATAATTAGTAATATTTTCTTGCCCATCCCTTTTAACAGTTCTCAAAGAAAAAAAAAAAAAACTTGTAATAAATGGTAAAATTCTCTTCTCTTAGGAAACCTGGAATGGTGTTTATCTTTAATATTATGTAGACTAAACTCACCTGTTCCAAAGAGTTCCTTGTGGACCTCTAATACCACAGCAACACCAATGTTATCTTTTGTCATCACTCTGTTCAGCATTGCTTCGGATCCATCTGAATTCGCCATTGCTACCTGGTTGAATTCCACTGTATGCTTCTGCACCAATGTAAATCTAAAAGACACACATATTCTTAGGTAGTTGGCTTAGGTAGTTACACTGTCGTGCTAAGATATTGACAGTGGAAGGGGCATGAGTACAGACACTACTGATAAGCTCTACCATTTTCTAGCTACAAATGGTCACATGACATAACTGGCCAGTGAAAAACAAGAAATATGGTTCCTATAAACAATTTATAGAGGCCTCATCCAGCAAAAATGAAATGAACATCTTCCTAATCATTTTTGTCTTTTCCCTCTCTAGCTAGCACTTAAAGGAATAATAACCAAGAGCGAACCAAGTAGATAAGTAAAAGCCGCTCTTCTGAGGATGAGCAAGCAGCTGAACCAATTCTATCTATTTATAAACTAGTCATTGCATATGAAAATTCATTTACTTAAGCTACTGTTCCTGACATTTAAAGGTACATAATAATCTTAACTGAGTCAGCAACTTAAAAGAGAAAGAATAAAGTCTACCTCCCCTATTTGCAGATTTTTAAATATGATATCAAGATAATTGTCAAGAAAATACAGGAATAAAATCTTTTTTAGCAGCTAAATATTATATATATATATTTTACTACATTAAGACTGTAGTTTGGTATAAGTGCTTAGAGAAATAGACTGTATTATAAGAAATGGGTCTCTGTGATGATGGAAAATTGTGAGTGTAATAGAATTGTAAGATATAATAAAAATTAATGCTAACATTTAAGGCCTGTGAACTTGGTCAAGCCATCTGTATTGGTTGTTTTGTCAGCTTGACACAAATTAAAAGACCTGGAGGGGACAGGAGCTCCACAAGGAGACCAACAGAGCCAAAAATTTTGGGCCCAGGGGTCCTGCAGAGACTGATGAATCAATCAAGGACCATCCATGGAGAGGACCTAGATCCTTTGCTCAGATGTAGCCCATGGGCAGCTCAGTCTCTATGGGGTTCCCTAGTAAGGGGAGTAGGGACTATCCCTGGTATGAACTCTGTTTTCTGCTCTTTGATCACCTAACCCTAGCAGGTGGCCTTACTAGGCCACAGAGAAAGAGAATCCAGACAGTCCTGATAAGACCTGATAGGCCAGAGCAGATAGTTGGGAAGGAGATACTCTCCTACGAGTGAACCAGGGAAGGAGCATAAGAGAAGAGGAAGGGAGGGTAGGACCAGAAGTAGAAATAATAATGATGATGAAAATGTGGTACAGACACAAAAAGTAGTAAAATTCAGCCTTAAAAAAAAAAAAAAAAAAAAAAAGAACAAAACAAGCCTCTATCAAAAAGCCCGTAGGAAGCTGGTGTGAGAAGGCATAGGGCATAGCTCACTCTTGGACAGGTGGTACTGGGTGGTATAAGACTGGGTAAGCCATATATGGCAAGCCAGTCAGCAGAGTTCCTCCATGGCTTCTGCTTTAGTTCCTGCCTCCAGTTTCCTGTCCTGACTCCCCTTAATAATGAACTATCACCTGTAAGTTTAAGATGAACTAAACCTTTGCTCATAGTTACTTTTGGTCATAGTCTTTATCAGAGCATTAGAAACCAAAGTAAGATAATACTAAACATCAATTACCCAATTTTATTAATTTTTAAAAAAATATTTCCAGAAAACCACAATTATACTTTGGGTAAGCAGGAGCCTCTAACAGGCCTTCAACTTGAAGCTAATTCTCTTTTCCTGCCTTTGATCGTTAGTAATGAGATTAGGTCATGCATCACCACACATGACTAAACATAATAATTTTCACTAGAGGTTAAAAGACATTTTTTACTTTCATAACAATCTATCTACCACTTTAAATTCTTCCTAGTTTTGAAAATTAAGCCACACATATCCCTTCAAAATACTGACTAAAAGGCTTACAATGCTGCACTACATCATGCTAGATTAAATAATATTCTTCCCATCAACTTCTTTTTCCAATTCCTCAATGTCTCAGATGTGCTTAGAATATGTAAGGTGTAAAGGGTCTGGTCATGTGGCCAATTTCAAGCCCAGAGTCCTTAAAGAATGCAGATTTCACCCTGTACTGGTAAACAGGTGGTCCTTAAGCTCAAAAGGCAACCAGCGTGAAGAATGAAGTTAGAGCATTTCAGATAAAAGGGAAAAATCCCAAGACATCAAATAACTTTGTAAAACAAAACAAAACAAACTTAGGAGCGACAGAGATAAGATGGGGGGAAGAAAGAATGGTAGCGTATGAAGCAGTACTGGAGACAAAACAAACAAGGGCAGCTAAGTAGATTACAGGTAAAGAGCACTTGCTGCGCCTTCCAAAGGAAGGACGTTTGGTCCCCAGCATGCACAATAGGCACAATACAACCAACTGGAACTCCAGCTTCAGGATAGTTGATTCTCTGTAGCCTCCACACATACATGATACACACACAAAAATAAAAGAAGCAAGTGTAGTGTGGTAGCGCATGTCTTTAATCCTAGTTCCTGGGAGGCAGAGACAGGTTGCTCTAAGTTCAAAGCTATCCTGGTCTACACAGCCAGTTCCAGGTCAGCCAATGCTACATAGTGAAACTCTGTCTCTAAATAAATAAATAAATATTTAAGAAAACATTCTACGTAAGTTCTTCACTATCCAAGACATACCAAATATGTTACATGTGGCTTCTACTTTCTGTTGCACAAAGTGCCATAGAGGAAATTTTGAAATACACCATCCTTCCTCTATTATATTAGAATTTTTCTTTTAATTAACATGAATGGTTTATAGTTACTTTCCAGCTGTTAATTTAAGCTAACAATCTTTGATAATGTATAAAATCTTAAGCCTGTCATTTTATTCAATATTTAAAATTCATTTGGTATTTATATTCTGCCTTATAAGCATCATTCCTGGTGCTACTTTATCAAATAAGAATTTTTCAGTATGTTCACCTGGTTGCAAATTTTAAGCAGAAGCTCAAACGGGCATAAAAAAGAACATACATAATCAAGACTGATGACTAAAAATCCAAAACTATAACAAAAGCATTATACAGATATATATGAGAAAGATTATGATGAATCTCATGTATAGGAGAACATGTCCAATACAAGCTTTCACATAAAAAAGGAACAATGTCTTAAGAGTGTGCAGTCTAAAAAGTAATTTACTATGTCGCCGTATGATTACACTAAAGCTAGAGAGGCAATACTGAGCACCAAATGTGAGTAACTAAAACAAAAGGACTGAAATAGTATTCTTCCTCAAATTTATTTATAAGTAAAAAGAACACAGATACCATCGAGAAGATAATATGAGCCAGTGGGACAGCTCTGTGTGGTAAAGGCCCTTGCCAAGAAGCCTGATAACCTGAGTTCAATCACCAGAATCCAGAGCATAGGTGGAGAGAACTGACTCACTCCTCTGACAAGCTACACTCTATAACTCCTACACACAGGTCACTGGTCCATGTACTGACATCACCCACCCCCCAACACACACACACACACACACACACACACACACACACACACACACACAAATAAAGAAACCACAGGAGGAAGAAGAGGAGGAAGAGGAAAGAGGTAAGGTTCCAAAAGTTAACCTGTCTTTTCCTTTCTGTATCATTTCTCTTAAAAATAAACCGCAGAAAATTTCTTAATGTGCATTTAGCATGAAACATGATGACCTTAAATCTCATCACTAGCATGTAAGAAAACTAACCCTATAAATACAAACTTACAGATTAGAGATAAATATGGAAGAAAAATAGGCAAATACTATTCTGTGTTTGTACAGCACTTAACTTTGTTTTTTGTTTTGTTTTGTTTTGTTTTTTGAGGTCTCTCTTTGTAGCCTTGACTGCTGGCCTTGAACTTACTATGTAGACCAGGATGGTCTCCAACTAACAGAGAGATCTGTGAGAACTCTTGAGGGTACTTCCACATCCTATATCATTTCAGTCTCATAATAAATCTTAGACAGTAGATAAACAATTTTTATTAACCCATATGTGAAAAGTAGAAAAAACCTTAGTGTAAAATCATTTTACATCCCATCTTTACTGTATTTTTACAGATTCACTGCTATTACTTATATATATGTGTGTGTGCCTGTGTGTTTATGTGTACCACATGTGCACAGAGTCTATAGAAGACCACAGGACATCAATCCTCTGGAACTGGTAGCTGTATGCTGCCTAACATGGGTGCTGGGAAATAAAGCCAGGTTCTCCGCAACAACACAAGGCACTCTTTTTGTTTTGGTTTTTGACACAGGGTTTCTATGTTTAACAGCCCTATCTATCCTGAACCAGGCTGGCCTTGAACTCACAGATCTGCCTGCCTCTGCCTCCTGCATGCTGGGATTAAAGGCTTGCACCACCACCACCCAACACAAAAGGCACTCTTAACATGAGCGATTTCTGCAGCCCCACATTTAATTGATAGTAAAATATCATTAGAAACCAAAAATGAAGACCTTGTTTTAAAGAATTAAAATCACAGACTGCTAAACGCTATCAAAGAAATCAATAACCCAGAGGCCAATGAGAAATGAGTATCAAAATACACTTTAAAAAAATATAACAGTTTGAAATGGCACTAAAACTTCTGAATACACTTTTTCCAAGCACAAAACTATATTTAATAATACAACAATAACAACAACAACAAAAGCTAGTATCTGGCCTTTCCTAGACAAAATATAGAGGTTACCTAATTTGGGAAAATTACCTTGAATTGACATTTATTACCAATGTTCATAGAAAAAAAAATTTTAAACACTGTTTAAAAAATGTGACGACAGTAAAATGTCCAACAACACCAAGCTGTCTTCCCATCTGTGTTTTCCCATCCCTCTCTCCTTTACTGCCCCCTCCCCACTCTCTTCCTCTTCTACTGTCTAGATAAAAGTCTGTCTTTAATGCAGTTCTCTGCAAACACTACATATATAAAATATAAAACATGTTTGTCTACTGTAGGTCATATTTGACGTAAAAGACAAATCAAAACTCATTTCTGCATTTGGTTAATCAAAATCCAACTGTGTAATATCTTTAACTAAAAACAAATGATGTCTATGATGTTGCTGAAAGGTACTACCAAATCTTAATTTCCTTATAAACCTGCTAAATTAATACTGGGTGGAGTTACAGTGTGGCTCAGTAGAAGAGTGCATGGTCAAAGAATTGGAGGCCTTAAGCTCAACAATCAGTGAACCCTCTCCCATCTTAAAAATAAATCACTAGAAGGTTTTATTGTATTCTGATTTTCTACATGTCTATAATCTGTGTCCTAGCTTTTAATGAAAAATATTCCATTCTTTCACCATATGGATAAGATTTTTGATAAAACTACTGTCAATTCTGATTTAAGAGTCTTTGAAAATAAATATGAAGTCAAAATACTCTTCTACAGCTATCATTTAATGTTAATTTTGTAAACATTAAGATGTTTCTTACAAGAATAAACAAGTGAAAAGATCTGAAAGTATAATAAATTACTAAATATTATACAGTTAATTAAGTAGTAAAGAAGTAAGTTCCTACTCTTTGCACTATTACCTCTTCCATGAAGGAAGAGGAGAGTAAAAGTGGGGTCCCAGAAGCCTTAACCCCAGACAAAGAACTACAGTTGGCTATGGGATTTTAAGAACAAGAGGAAGTCTTCCCCACAGATGAGCCCTCTAACTGGTACTGGTTATCAACTACCAAGTGGTCAGTTCTGAAGTTAGTATACATAAAGCAACACTAAACAGACTCAGCAGGTTACAATTAATATTTATGTGCATATGCATATGTGCACACATGCGCGAGCACACACGCGCGAGCACACACGTAATAGTAGCAAAAGGAGACTAAAAATTTAAGAGAAGTAGAGAAGGGGGAAGATATGGGACAAGTTGAAGAAAATTATGTAAATAAAATTTAATAATAAAAACATTGGAACACACACAAAGTGGGATCCTTGGATATGCTTTTATGAAATGTGTCTCACTCAAAATGTTTTCTCTGTTATGGAGTCCATGATACTATACTATTATACTATTTAGGAAAGAAACAGCTAAAGAAGAAAAAGAATGCAACAAATATTTCCTATAGCATTTATTTTTAAAAAGTTCACACTATTTTAGAAATTCAAGAATGAGTCTGCAACTATACAATAGTTAAAGATTCCTATACAACAGTTTCAAAATTCCTATACAGTTTTAACTGTTATTTTCAAACATTAAACACCCCTAGTAGATTATCAAGGAATTTAAATTTCTCCTTTCAAAGTGGTAAAGCGAATGGTCAAAACAAAAAGTCATCCACATTATCCAGAAAGTATTCGGGGGAGGGAACCAGGTGCAGTGGCACACACCTGCGATCCTAACACTTGCACATTACGCTCCAGTCTACATAAAGAGACCCTGTCTAGAAAGACGGAGATCAGGAGAGGAAGAGAGCAGGGTACAGAGGAGGCAAGGCTGGGGAAAGAGATGCAAGCGGGTGGGACAATAGCTTGATGTTAATTAAACATTTTACTGTTAACATACTTTTTTAAAAACGTGTTTCAAATAAATTTTCCTGTGAACACTGATAATTAATGTCAAATTAAATTTATCCTTGTAAGAAGCAAGAGTAATACCAGAGTGGGAGCAAAAACCCTTAAAAAATTTATTGTTATAGAAGTGGATAGTGTGAAGTATGAAGGAAGACTTCAGGTAGTCTTGCTCAAGAAACCTGTCTGCCTGTCTTGATTTCATTATCTATAAAAATAAAATGAAAAAAAATGGTTGTCTACCTACCTCTGAGAGTCACTTTAAAACTTACACAGGAAAAGTCATATAAGTAATTAGAAAGGGCTTTTTAATCTAGTAAAATGAAAGTTGCGAAAAAAAAAAAAAAACAACCAAAAAATGAGTATATTCTCCATTATTTATAGAGCTCTACACTATTATCTAAAGTGAGATGTTTCTTAAAAATTCATGGAAGAGACAAGAAAATGGGCACATACAAATGAGAAGTTGGCCAAATATCTTTCAAACTCACTGGTTTTGTTCATATAAAATAGTATTCTATGATGGAAAGATGTGCTATCAGAAGAAAAAAAAAAGCCTGATTTTGTTATAATGGGAATTAAACAGGAAAATAATAGAAAATAGGCACTAACATGCATATGGCTATTCTGTATATAGATAATTGTCTAACGTGTCAATTCCAAAGTATTAACCATGAAATTCAACCTCTCTAACAGTTCTACACATTTCTCACTAATAGGTGCTAATCTTTTAACTTGCTGTTTCCCTAAGTCCTATGCTTTGTTTCTTCTCTCCATATAACTACAACTTTCATATATATATATATATATATACACCGTATTAAAACTGACTGTCCTACATTCCTATCTTTTCCTGCTATATTTGAAGTGCTAGTGAGAATTAGGAATTTTTCATGCCTAGCACAGACTTGTCACAAGAGTTCAAGAATTTAATAAATAAATTGTTAAATAGATAAAGAAATCCACATCACTTATTGCTATTAGAAGGCTTTTTCTAGTTTACAAGTAACTAATATTTTACTTTATAAAAATATTTTAGAAATTGTATCTTTAAATCCATTCTATAGTGAGAATTTTAGATTATTTAAAAACCCCAGTTATATAGTTATGTGACTATACTTCTCTTTTAAATCCAGGTGTGGGCTACAAGGCTGCTTCAGAATGTCCATAGCCACTAACTAAGATCTGTCTTGGCTCTAAGAGGGCATGATTTTTGCCAGCTACAGACAGTGGACTTCTAGGGACTCCTGAGAAGCTGCGAGTGCCCCAAGAGGCCGGTAGCGGTGGCTGCTCCCCCGATGCTGCTGGTTCCTGCTGCTGGATTGCTGGTTGCTCCTTGGAGATAATTCTGATGGCGAAGATTGGACTTGCCTCAAGTAACTTGAGGCCTGTCTACCTCCAACTCAAATTTTCAGAGTAATTTTCCAGTAAGAATATAAAGGAAAATACACTAAATAGCATCAATATCAGTATACTGCCTCAGAAAAAGTTTTAACTTCTATAACACTTGGAATTTCTAGCTTTGCCTTTATATAGTCAAACCAAAGACTAGGGAAAGTTAAAAGTAATTAAGTGACATTCCTGTGTCTATATATTGACTCACTTTTCTGTTTTGAAGAATATTGCACAACCATCCACATGCTTTCTTTCCTGCTCAGACATGATTTTGGCACGTGACTTTGGGGAAAAAAATCCATCATATCCACGATCCTTCAATGCTGGCAGAAAGAGAGTAAAGTATTGCTCTGTTTCCACTTCCTAAGATGAAAGAAAAATTGTTATCTACACAACAGAGTGAAAATGATTAAGGCATAAAAATGTTCTCCAATGAGTAAGGAGTGGTTAAGACAAAGCACTCATATAACATATTATCCAGCTATCTAATCACTAGCAGCTGCACTTGACATGTGCAGCACTTTAAATATGACTTGATGTTCACAGCACTGGTTTAATAGCAGGATTAGGATGAGATCTCAGCTCTCTTGACTCCTAAATCAGGGTCACTCCAATATATCTTACTTACTTCCTCTAGCTAATAATTAAACAAAATTGTTATGTCAGGTAACAATAAATCTTTCATGTAAAGAGAAAAATAATGAATTATTCTCTTAAATTGAGAGAGAAATTAACACCTGAAGAATATAAAATATTCTTTCAACAATAAAAAAAATCTAAAATTTAAGGAAATTTTAGAACTAGCAATAATAAAACAGTCTCTTAATTTAATAATGAAGCTATATTTCTATTCTTTAACCCATATTTTAAATAAACCTTTCCAAACGAAATAAATCAAATATGGAGGTGATATTTACATAAAGATAATTTTAACATGATTTAATAACAAAAACCTAAGTGACTGTCCCACAGTATATTTATTCATGTTATTATATTCATATACTGAGTTTGAGTAACATAAAAAATATACTAAGTGAATAAACAAAATATGCCAATAGTAGGATCTCTTTTTATTAAAAAGAAACATATAAATAAGTTAACTAAATGGAAAGAACAAAAAAAATACAAAAAATATTTCAGAGGTTTTAAAATATTGGTTTGTCTTTGATGTATAGGAGTGTATGTCTTCCTTGGTCATATTTTGTAATTTCTCACTTTTTCCAGAATATTCTACAATATGCTGTGGCTTTTACAAAAGAAAAGTTTCTTGAAATGCTGACTTATCGTTCAAACTACATCTCACTTACAAAGGTACAAGCATGTCACTACTACAAAACTAAAGCAAAAGCAGACAGCGAACGACAGCGTAACTGCATCTGCTTCCTCTTCCCCAATTCTGCTTGTTCTTACTACTTATAAGAGCCTTTAATCTTTAAAGATTTTTACTTACTACATCTCAGAAAGTGTAAAATACAAAACAAAAAACAACTACCAAGCTATTTTATCTTTTTAAATGGTTTCCTTATTTGTTTGGCTTTCTTTTTTGAGACAGGGTCTCTATATGCAGCTATGGCAGGACTGGGGCTGTTTTCAGCTACTAAAAAGCCCAAAACAAAAAACAACACAAACAAACAAAAAAGCAAAAACAAAACCAAAAAGCAAGTCATCAGTTTCCTTCCCAGGATATACTGAATATGTGTAAAATACTACAATAGTTTTAAAGCATGTTTAAGAAATGGCAACTATTTGAGGTAGTACATATATATACAAGCCTGACTTAGCCATGAAGTACTGTACAAATATATTAAAATACCATACTGTATCTAATAATTGTCAATTAAAAAAATTAAAACAAGAACATTTAATATGCCTTAAAATTAATAAAATTACTAAAAAGGACTACACATATATTTTGGGCTAGTTATTGTTAAATGTTGAATAGAAATTTGAATATCCAAAGAGTACATACAATCTTCACTTAAATTCACTAAACACAATGTTATTAAATAGAAGGCTCTGAAGTCCTCCTCTCCAATTCGAGACTATGTAACTTCTACAACTGGGCCCTTCTTCTGTGAGTGGCCCACCTCCTGAGAGATCTGAGCCCTTAAAGTGTTTAAAGAAATTGAAAGGGATTTTTTAAATTATTTTTGAGAAATCAAACAGATACAAAAAATTTTGCCAGTATAGATCTGTATAAATGTACTGGAAAAAAAGAAAGAAAGAAAGAGAGAGAGAGAGAGAGAGAGAGAGAGAGAGAGAGAGAGAAAGAAAGAAAGAAAGAAAGAAAGAAAGAAAGAAAGAAAGAAAAGAAAGAAAGAAAGAAATTTAGGTAAGTTTAATTTTAGAAATAGTTTACAAAGTAAGGTAAAATTTATGATTGTGAAGTTTTTTTTTAATGTTTAAGAAACATCTTTAAGAAAACAGTTTCTTATGAACTCAACTCTAAGTAAAATTTATATTCCTGAATGACTAGTAATGTCTTTGCAATTTTATCTTTCAATAATCCCAATCAACTGTTCATGTGGGGAGCTGTTAACATGAATAAGAGGCAAGATTAACTTCAGAAAACAGTAAATAAAAATAGGTGCACATATATTCTCAATCAGCAATATAGTTACACTGTGGAAATCTCTTTAATTTTTATTAAAAATTATCCCCTTTTGAAGTAGAGAAACTATTCTTTTTGAGTTTTGCTTTGAACATGGACTCTCTCCCAGAGGTAAGATCTTTTATTATTTTTAGTTCACCTTGAAGTTAAACACAATTTAATTTCTATAGTGTTACCTGAAGACTAATGATATCTGCATCCCAGTTAACAATTTCTTCCATAATTCCCTTTTTCCTGTATTCCCAGTTTAGTGCCCAGGATGGGCAATAGCCATATAGCTGCCGGGTGGCATATTTATCACACAGCACATTGTAACACATAACCGTGAATGATGCTAAGAAGCAGAAGGAAAAAGACAAAGGGAGGAGATTAGGCAACTTTTTGTCAATCAGTATCAAGGATACACCTGCATACACACAAATACAGTTCATATATTAGTTCAGGCAAAATGCCAGGAGGTATAAGTTCTAATAAAGTATTTTCCTTTATTTCACTTAGGATGCAGGATTTCTCAAAGAGGTAGGATCTTCTATGACTTTTCCATTCACCTTTTAAGTTAATGACAATTCACTTACACTATTACTTGATGATTTCACAGAAATACATTACACTAATGTTTACTAGTCTACATTTAACTATCCATATTCAAAAATTTTAAGAAAAATTCAACAAATTCAAAATTTGAAAATCAGAGTATCAACTGTTTGCATGTGATATACTGAGAAACAGGTTTGGTTTAAAACAAAAGCAAATTTTGGCTTCATTTCAGTTAAAGGATTCTAATTTCATTACTTTTTATCCAAATATTGATAGTTAATATTTTGGGGCCTATTATTAGTTCACCCTCGAGGGTGAACAAAATTTAAGCCATAAGAGAATTCTTTTTGCCAGTCTAATGTTCATTTCTGAAATAAAATTATCATTCTGAAACACCTGACCTATTTAAAACAACAACAACAACAACTGTAAGTTAACTAATAATCTAGATGCTCCCACTACCCCAAAATGTGCTCCTAAGACCCAGCAACACCAATGATCACTTCAATGATTGGAAAGCCACAATTTCTGACCCCCAAGTATCTATGAAACAGGAACTGAAGTTTAACAAAATCCTGATTTAACTCAAATTAACATGCATGTCAAACTATAAAAAGGCCTAACTTTCCTCAGTACTTCTCCATCATGGGCACCCATTTGAGTCACTTTGTAGACGATTAAAAAGAAATCATCATCAACAACAAAAACTGACAGTATGGATACAATTCTATACTAAGTCAAAGCATTAGGTTCTTGGCAAGCATACTTTCAAAAGGGATACCACTTGAGTATGATAAACCTGTAAGGTAAAGAACCATCAATATCACAAATTTCACAAATTTGTAAGCATTTGAAGTAAGTATCTTTATTGAAGTTGGGTTCACTTTCCATAATAGGAAAGGCAGTAAAGTATCTGATTCATGGTCATTTTGTACACTGAAGGCTACAGTTCATTAGAATTATTTATATCCTCTGTGTTTACTCTGGAAATGACCCAGAATCATTTGTAAGACACTATACTACGAAGTGAGCACCCTGTGTTTACCATGTTCTGCCTCTCCAGATTTGGAGTACCATTCTGAAGAGGAAAAGAAGAAAGGCAGATTGTTATTGGCTTCATTCATATCTAAGACTTTTTGAAGATTTTTCTAGAAAAGTCTAGCAGTAAAAGTTTCTCTAACAAAGACTAAATTCTGTAACAACCCAATGTTTACCTTGTATTAAATTAAATGTTTGCAGTGTTTTAAAGTGAAAATTAAGTTGCAGTTACAATTTCCTTATACTCCATTTCTATCTGGAAGATTGTTAACTAATTGGTCTTGATTATTATATAGTTAATGGTTATAATTATTTGATTATAAATTACTCTTAACTACCCCGAGTTATTACACACATCTTCCTATTCAACAAGAGAAAGGGTATTTTTCATTGTTGACACTCAGAATCTATTCAGTTAGTACCACACTAAAAAGAATCCTTACTAGTTCATCAGTTAACACTAAGAATGCATTACTTTAGAAATCACTGAGTAGTTAATATTAAGCTCTACGTATTGTTCATTTTCTTAATAGAAATGTGACAGTATAGTAGTAGTAGAAGCCTTTCTTCCAAAATATGCTCATTTGTGTTCAAGAAGAGATTAAGGAGCTAAAAAATTATGCACCTCTTTAAAACTCATTTTACACTGTTTTTAATTTTAATTAGTATATGCTCATTGTACAAAATGAGTTTCCTTCCGACATTTTTGTACATCCTGTGCGTTGTTCATACTCACCTAGCCTGACTGCACCCACTCCCTGTGCACCCCCTCCTCTCCCCACATAGTTCCTCTCTCTCTACAGTCATGGCTTATGTGATTTTTTTTTTCCTTAAATCTGGATTTCAAATACAAGAGAAAACATGAAGTATTTGTATTTCAGTATCTGGCTTAATTTCACTTAACAAATATAAAACTCTAACCAAGGAGGTAAAAGACAGTGTATAAGAAACAAACAAACAACGTGTTTTTAAGAATAGAAAGGCCACAACCACACTACAGAAAACCACTTATAAAATAAATACATCTAATTCAAGGCACTCTAGAAAACGTAAATGTTTCTTTTATGTAGATCATTTAATATGCATCATGCCAAAACAAGTGTTATTTGTGTTAATTTTGGAACAAAGTCTACTTGACAGGCTGATGTTTTCCTACAGTGTGGTGACTTTAAAATCAGAAGCCCATGAAACACACAAAACTGTATTGTGAAGCACTATTTGTCAGCATCAACATAGAAAGAGAATCAAGAAGAAGTTATACATTCCATGTAATACTGAAAGATTTTGCTCTGAATCCTCTCACAAAACAAACAAAAAAACCCAAAAGGCCAGATATGGTGGTGCACACTTTTAACACCAGCACATGGAGGCAGAGGCAGATAGATTCGTGAGAACACCCTGATCTACACAGCAAGTTTCAGAGCAGCCAGACCTACATAATAAAGAGACCCTGTCTTTAAAACAAAACAAAACAAAAAACCCGCTCAGAAACAAAAGGTTTATATTGTTCAAAATGTACACAGCAATTTCTAACTGCAATTTACCCTTTAAAATCATTAAAGCAGTAGTATTCAGTGATTGGTCTAACCTATGAAAGTTAAAATTTTCATTAAATTTTAAAATGAAATTAAGTATCATAAAAATATTTATGGATATAATTTAAAAGGCACTTAAACAATTCACAATTTTTTAAAAAATTATTTTATTTTATATGTATGCATGAATTCCTGCATGTATGTATCCCACAAGCAGTCTTATTTCCTGAGGATGCCAGAAAGAGAATCAGATCCCTGGGAACTGGAATTATAGTTATGAGCTGCCATGAGGGCACCACATCTTTTTTAAGAGCAGAAAATGCTCTTAACCGCTAAGCCATCTCTCTAGCCCCTTCACAACTTATTTTAAGTAGCATTTCCAAACCTGAACTGTCTTAACATGTAGCTTTAAAAGTCTTAGAAAACTATCAAACTGTTATTCATCTGCACAAAGACATAATGGCTTATATGTACGCCATTACTACTGTTTTAGACATGCCAGGTTATGTTCTTAGAGTTATAAAATACTCTGAACCATTTCTACAATCAATCTCATTGACATTTCCACCAAGCTCATCATTAATGAATAAAAATTATTTTTATACCATTTTAAATTTTAATTAGTATATGCTCACTGTACAAAATGAGTTTCCTTCTGACATTTTCATGTATTAGATATGTTGTTCGTATTTACCCCCAGCCTGACTGTACCCACTCCTATTGCATCCCTCTCCTATAAGGTTCCCTTCCTCTTCCCCTTCTAACTTAAACATTAAGTATCAGCAGTCTTCTCAAGAAGGGCAAAGTACCTAAGAAATTCAAAATGTTTCATAAGAAAGTTTCTTAGTGCTTATTAGATGATTTAAGACTCATCGAAGGTCTCTTCAAAAGCTTCATAACAAGGAACACTTTTCTAACCCAGGTGCCAATGTGAAAGATACTGATGTCTCCTTACATAACAGGCCCACCTTAATGTTAGTGCTGTTTACGTCAAGCCTGAATCCATCTACACCCATGGTGGATAAAACGAAAGCCTATTAATCACGAACCTAAATTAAGAATTTACTTTAAAGGCCAAAGACGAGAAAAACTACCTGATGGCAGAATTTGGTCTCGTTCTTTTAATGTAATCCATGGCCTCGGAGGAAGCTGCTCTGGATGAACTGAAAGAAAAAAAAATTAAAAACATGAAGCAATCCTATATGCTTGTAAAGTCATTATTTAGTTTCTAACACCAAATCAACCTATTCATTATTTGGCTATAATGGCCCACAAATGGACTTAAAAATCCAATCCTAGAATGTAATTAAGACTTCAAAAACTAACAGATATTTAGAGATGCAGGAAAAATCAGTAGGTAAAACTTCCTTTTGTACCAGCCTGAATGAACTCAAGCCCCATCCTTGGAGCCTAGGTAAAAAAGCCTTATCATTTTGCATTTGCAATCCCAGCATTTCTCTAGGAAGAAAGAAAGCAAGCTAGCAAGGTAAAAGCAATCTTCTGAAAGTTGACCTCTGACCTCTACAGTACCCATGACACCCACACACAGTACATACAAACAAAATAAAGAAACTCATTTAACTTCTATAGATGTACTGATTTTAGTATGATTATCCTATATTATATGTCTAATATCCACTTATAAGTGAGTATATACCATGTGTATCTTCTGCTTCTGGGATACCTCAACTCAGTATGATCTTTTCTAGTTCTCACCATTCGTCTGCAAACTTCATGATTTCACTAAGAAGTAGGACCCTGGGTAAGATGCTCAATCTTCATTCACAAAGGCAAATGGGATAGACATCAGAAGAGGGAGAAAACAGGGAATAGGACAGGTGCCTACCACAGAGGGCCTCTGAAAGACTCTACCCAGCATGGTAGTATTAAAGCAGATGCTGAGACTCATAACCAAACTTTGGGGAGAGTGCAAGGAATCGTATAAAAGAAGGGAGAGATAGAAAGACCTAGAGGGAACAGGAACTCCACATGGAGAGCAACAGAACCAAAAAAACTGGGCACAGAGGTCTCTTCTAAGACTGATACTGCAACCATTCATGGAAAAAACACAGAACCCCTGCACAGATGTAGTCCATGGCAGTTCAGTCTCCAAGAAAGGGGAGCAGGGGTTGTCTCTGACATGAACTCAGTGGCTGGCTCTTTGATCACCTCCTCCTGAGAGGGGTATAGCCTTACCAGGCCACCACAGAGGAAGACAATGCAGCCAGTCCTGATGAGACCTGATAGACTAGGGTCAGATGGAAGGGGAGGAGGTCCTCCCCTAACAGTGGACTGGAGGAGGGGCATGAGAGAAGAAGGAGGGAGAGTGGGAATGGGAGAGGACAAGGAAAGGGGCTACAGCTGGAATACAAAGTGAATAAATTGTAACAAATTTTAAAAAAGAGAGAAATAAATTAATTTAATTTTCTAAAAACAGCTATGCAAAGAACATAAAACTAGTATTGGAAAAGAACATTAATAAACTCATTTATGGTATTTCCATGTGTGTGTTTTTATGAAAAGTACCTTAAATTTAAACCTTAAGCAAAATCTTTTAATTACATAGGTTAAAGTGACTTCGCTTTGTTCCCTTCTGCAAAATCAGAGCCATGTAAAGTTTTAACATCCTGGTAATCAAGTAACTTAAAACAGAAAAAGCAAATGAATACACAATAAATAAATAAATGGATAAATAAACAAACAAACAAATAAGTAACTGGCTTTTCTAATGAGGCTTTCAACTACCTGCTTATTCTCTTCAAAGATGAAGACATAAAAGATAGTATTTTGAGGTACCTTACTGTCAAATTTCAGTAATGTTCTATCCCAGAGTTCCCTGCAGGTTTCCAACATTTATCATAAACCTGCAATCACCTTGGATTCCAAGAAAAATAGAGCCTTCCAGAATAGTCCTGCCCCCACGATGATGCAATTATCTATGATGTTGTACTATATCTATAGTTGGATCGCTCCCTGAGAAGCATCCTGTGCACTCAAGCAGTAAGGACTTTTACAAGCCCACCTTGTTGAACCAGAACTAAGACAAATGAAAAGACACAACTGTACAAATTACAAAAGAAACAATCATTGACTTTTAGAATGAATGAATACAAAAAACAAAAAACAAAACAAACAAAAACAAAAAAAAACACAAAAGAATTTGAAAATGTGAAAATACACCAGGTGGTGGTGGCACATGCTTTAATCCCAGCACTCAGGAGACAGAAGCAGGCGATCTCTGTTAGTATGAGGTCTGGTCTACAGAGCATGTTCTAGGCTACACACACAAGCTCTTTCAAAAAACTGAAAAATAAATGTGAAAATATTTATGGAACTATAAAAATATCTAAATTCCTATTATTAGAAGTCTAGAATAAAGAATATAAAGCTTAAAAAGTCTTCTAAAAGATAATAGAATAAAATTTCCATTCAACTAGGAATCAAAGAATTTAAGTCCAACAAATTTAATGAAATCTCCTCCAAGACAGATTCTAACTAACCTTTTGAAAACTAGAGAAATAAATTAAAAAACACCAAAGACCTAACAGATTACCGATACAGAAAACCACCAACTTAAATTACACTTGAAGCCCAAGGAAACAACAGGGTTGTCATCTGAAAGTTATGTATTTAGCAAAATCCTCCTTTGGAAATCAGAAGCTGGTTATGGGAGCATGCATGTAATCCTAGACAATCCTAACTACTGTGAAGATGACAGTATGAAGGAAGATCAAAAGGAAATCAAGATAAATATGCAATGGAAAACTAAAAGACTGATCACTAACAGATCTGCCTTAAAGAATGACCAGTGGTTAAAAAAAAAAAGCAGCACTCCAAACAGAAATAAAACATTAAAAAAAAATGTGCAAAGCTATGAGTTTTAACATTACACACACACACACACATACACATATATATATGTTGTCGAGTACGGCTACCTAGACTTTAGTTAAAATAAATCAAAAAGCAAAGTAGAATCGTAGTGGGGTGATTAAAAAGTATGACTCAACCATTCTACACATCTTCAAACACAGTATAGAGAACTAAAAAATAACTTTTCAAAGAGCAAGAACAGTTATGTTAATATCTAACAAAGCAGTTTTAGAATAAAAACAGAAAGAACACAGAGGGCAATTACATAATGAAATAATTAATCCACTAAACTAAAACAATCTTCAACAAGTAGGTGCCCATCAACAGCTTAAAATACCAGAAGCAGGGGCTGCAGAAACACCCAGCAGTTAAAATCACTTAAACCCAAATGGTGACTCAACCTTCTGTTCACTCTAATTTCAGGGTATCAGATACCCTTTTCTAGCCTCCTCAGATATCAGGCATGTTCATGATACACACATATACATGCAGGCAAACTCTCATATATATAAAACAAAAATAAATCTTGAAAAAATACCAGAAGCAGAAGCTGACAGAAGAATGAATAAACAAATGTATAAACTGTATACCTGAGACTTTTTTAACTCCTTCATTCAACATTTGACAGGATAACCAGATGAAATGTTAAAAAAAAAAAAAAAAAAGAGGAATTGAGCACCACCACCAACATTCATTTTTATACTATTAAAAAACTATAAAATGCGCCAGGGTTTCAAAAGCCCATGGAACACAAACTATGACACAGATAAACTGACATTTCTTTTTATAAATTGGAGAAAATATGAGCTATGTTTTTTTTTGTTGTTCCTATATAAAATCAAACAGAAATCAACCAACAGGAAAACTTTACAACATTTGTATCTTAGGCAATACAGTTCTAAATACATCACTGATCAACTATAAAGGAAATAAAACACACTGAAATAAATGAAGATGAAAGATAATAACACTTATGTTAAAAAAGGATAGGTTTCCATTAATAATTTGTTACTAGCCCTATCTACAAAAAGGAGCAAAATAATTCTAAACCAAGCTGAGGAAAGTGCACACTTAACATGTACAAAAACTAAGACTGTTATAAATTTTGTTTTAAATTTTTAAATAAAAGAGTATGGTCTCTAACCACAACAGAATGAAGTTAAAAAAAAAAATCTATCCTGACAGGAAACAACTTCCTGAACAGAACACCATCAGCACAGGCTCTATCTAAGATCAACAATCAATAAATGGTACATTATGAAACTGAAAAGTTTCTGTAAAGCAAAGGACACTGTTGTCTGAACAAAATGACAGCCTACCTCAAGATCCAGCTATACCACTCCTAGGCATATATTCAAAAGGTACTCAAGTATACAATAAGGGCATTTGTTCAACCATGTTTGTAACAGCTTTCTTAGTAACAGCCAGAATCTGGAAACAACCCAGATGTCTCTCAACAGAGGAATGGATACAGAATTTGTGGTATATTTACACAATGGAATACTACTCAGCAATTAAAAACAAGGACATCATGAAATTTGCAGGCAAATGGTAGGAACTCATCCTGAGTGAGGTATCCCAGAAGCAGAAAGATACACATGGTATATACTCACTTGTAAGTGGATATTAGACATACAATGAGATAATCATACTAAAATCTGTGTACCTAAAGAAGCTAAGCAAGGAGGACCCTGGGTAAGATGTTCAATCTTCATTCAGAAAGGCAATCAGGATAGACATAGGAAGAACGTTAAAATAAGGAACAAGCCAGGAGCCTACCACAGAGAGCCTCTGAAAGACTCTACCCCAGCATGGTAGTATTAAAGCAGATGCTGAGACTCATAACCAAACTTTGGTCAGAGTGCAGAGAATCTTATGAAAGAAGGGGGAGAAAGAAAGATCTAGAAGGACCTGGGGCTCCACAAGGAGAACAGAACCAAAAAATCTGGGCCCAGGAGTCTTTTCTGAGACTGATACTCCAAGCATGGAGATAACCTAGAACCCCAGGTGGTCCATGGCAGCTCAGTGTCCAAGTTGGTTCCCTAGTAAGGGGAACAGGGGCTGTCTCTGACATGAACTCAGTGGCTGGCTCTTTGATCACCTCCTCCTGCATGGGGAGCAGCCTTACCAGGCTATAGAGAAAGACTATGAAAGACAGTCCTGATGAGACTTTATAGGCTAGAGTCAGATGAAAGGGGAGGCGGTCCTCCACTATCAGTGGACTGGGGAAGAGGCATGGGAGGAGATCCTGGAGGGAGGATGGGATTGGGAGGGGGCGAGGGTGGGGCTACAGCTGGAATACAAAGTGAATAAATTGAAATAAATAAAAAATTATATTAAAAAATTTAACCTGAATTCTCATGAAAATCAAGAAATTCTAACCGATTCATAGGGTAAACAGACCTATTTAAAACACTAAGCAAGCTCTCCACTGAGTTACATCAGCTGCTCCACACCTGGCTTCTGATGAGGCATTAAAAATCAGCAATGAAAAAACAGAATTATTAATTCATGGTTCAGAGCTTAAAAAAAATATACATATGGCATTATCATAGAACTCTGCTCCTACTGTTGAGAGAATATCTTGTGTATTGTACTGATGCACTGTCTGTCAATTAAAAAAAAAAAAACCAAAACTCTGGCCTATAGGAAAGGATAGCCTAGAAGGTGGGACATTTAACAGGCAAAAAGGATTCTGAGAGAGAGTCAGGTACAGGAGAGTAACTGGAAGATATGAGGAAGATATATATGGTACTTGAGAAGAGAAAATCAGTCATGTACCAGAATGTAGATTAGTATAACTGGGTTATTTTACATTATAGGCTAGTCAAAGAAGAGCCTAGCTATATGGCCTAAGTATCTGTAAAATAATCAATTGAGTCATTTTTTCAGAAGCTTATACTGGGAGGAAAAACACACACCCTATTACATCTACCTTGCACAAACACCAATTCCAAGGTTGTAACTCTAAGTGTTACCAGTAAGAAAAAGGAGTTTCTAGAGAATGCATTCATGATCTTATGCTAAGAACAATTTCTTAAAGAGGACACAGAAGTTGTGACCATGACCATACCAGATCCAGTACTACCCATGCTACCCCCAAACAGTACATTTTAGTATGCTGAAAGTTCTCTTCATCGAAAGATAAACCAAAAGCACAAAAAAGGATATTTGCAACTTAGATACTAAATGACTCAGACAAAGAACTCCTGAAAATATATACAGTCAAGTTAACTGGCAACATTGATAGAGATAAGAAAGATATTTACTATTTAAAGTTGGGAATAGCATGCAATGTGTTACATACACAGCTTAATTAAAAATTTACATATTCCTAGTTTCTTTTTTAAACAGAATCACAAGAATCTCAGACTGGCTTGGAATTTGCAGTGAACTAAAGATGATTGTGAACTTCTGATCTTCATTCCTCTCTCTCCCAAGAACTAGGATTATGTGTATACCATCACACCCAGCTTATGTAGTGCTGGGGACAAAACCAAATGCTTTCTGCATGCTAGGCAAGCAGTCTCCCATCAGAACCACATCTCTAGACCTATTCTTGATTTCTTACTAAAAGAAATTCTGAAAATAAGTTTACTAATTTGTTGATCTTCCATCATTCAAATTCAATTCACTTTGAGCCAAAAGTATTTTGAGTAACATTAAATGTTTTTCCTTTTATTATAAACCTTACATTTTGTACATGAGGTGGAAGGTATCTTTTATGATAAAGTTCATTTTAAGAGTATCGCTGAAAAATTAACAATGACTTCTAGGAGGAAACTCACAATTTCCTTAGCTCTGTTTACAAACTATACTGAAGCAGAAGAAATGGCTCAAAGGATAAAGATATGTGTGGTATAAGCCTGGCTAACTAAATTTGAACCCTGAAGCCTATTTAAAAGTGGGAGAAAACTGACTATAGAAAGCTACCCTTTGACCTCTCACCTTCACCTGTGCCATGGCACACATGCTCACACAAACAACAAATCAAACTTTTGTAGGGTATGGAAGCTCAGGCCTTGAACACCTGGGAGACAGAAACAAGTGAGTCTTTGTGAGTTTGTGACCAGCCTGGTCTACATAGTATGCTCCTGACCAGCCAAGGGTACAGAAAAACCCTGCCAAATAAACAATCAAAGCGATTTTTTTTTTTTTAAATAAAGGGGCCAGGAAGACATCTCAGTGAGAAAATAAACAATTTTTTTGTGTGCAGCCCAGGAAGATGGCTCAGTGGGTAAGAGAGCATGTTCTACAGGTATGAGGGCCTAACCTCAAAACTCCAGCACCACATTAAAAGTAGAATATATTGGCACACAATAGTGTTAGAGAGCAAAACCAGGCATATCCCAGGAGACTGCTGGCCAGCTGAAAAAAACCAATTCTGGTTGAACTACCCTGTCTCCAGATCATCAAAAAGGAGAGTAATAAAGACTCTCCTCAGCATGCGCGCACACACACTCATTCATACCCATATAGTCATGTTCATGGATCACAAATACACATTAAACAACACACTCATAACCAAAATATACATACTTTTGGAAAGATGTTATTCAAAAAAATATGTATATCAGAATTAATCTACATACTTATAACCAAATTTTGAATGCTTAAGTAAAGCAATAAAAAGCTATAATGTACAGAATTGCCTTTATATGTAAGACAATTATACATATGGACTACAACCATTTTATCGCCCTGTAACTCTGGTATACATAAAGACTGCTCGCAAATTTTTTATAAATGTACAATGAGTTGAACTATAGACAAACATTGATTTATAATGTAATTGTGTTCCAATTAAACCCACAGACTAAATCAAAAGAGTATTTAAAACATTTAACCTGCATCATACGTTAGCCTAGCCTAGCCTATCTAAACATGGACAGAATACTTAAGTTATAGTTGGGAAAATTATCTAACAGAAAACCAACTGTATAATAAAGTCCTGATTATCTTATTTAATTAACTGAACTCAATACTAAAAGCGAGTAACAGAATTGTTGTCTGGGTAAATGTTTACATAATATCAAAAACACCTTGAGTTTAGTCACCTTATCTATGCATTATTGAGAATAATCTTCTCAATTACAATTATGTATACAGATCAGGCTGCAGGTCATCTGTACCAAATTCAGGCCACTAGTAACCATTTATCTTAGTGATTAAAAATAAGACAATTTTGAGTTCATGGCTTGGAATTACAAGCCATTTTTATCTCAAAGTCTGTACCCGTAAAATATAAAGAACCTGGGGATGGAAAGATGGTTCTGCAACTAAGAGTACTTGGTGCTGTTTCAACAGACCCAAGTATACCCTCGTCTGGCCTCCTCTGACACCTCTACATATGTGGCATATACGAATTATCTTGTGCCTTTAATGGCAACACTCAGGAGGCAGAGGCAGAATCAGGTGAATCTCTTATGAGTTTGAGGACAGCCTGGTCTAAATTATAATACTGAGACCAGACAGGGCTAGACATTAAAACTCTATCTCAGTAGTAGGAATAGTAGCAGCACAGCAGTAGGAGCAAATCATTTTAAAATGTAAAAATTCCTACAAGCTAGTATAACTAAAACTTTCATCATATTACTTCATAAACAGGGAGTACTCATACATGAAAAAAATAAACTCCAAATCTATAAGCAGCTATAAAAGCAATCTATGTTTGGTCCCCTATCATTGGACTGGGGGACGGCATAGGAAAAGAAGAGGGAGGGAGAGTGGGATTAGGAGGGAATGGGGGAGGGGGCTACAGCTGGAATACAAAGCAAATAAACTATAATTAATAAAATATTTAAAAGTAAAAAAAAACTATAGAGTCCAAACTTTGTCACTAAGAGTTACCTGCAAGATTGTCAAGCATGAAGTTCAGTAGCTTTCGAGTTCCATCTGGGTCCTGGTATAAGCTCATAATATCCTGCGATAAAGGATTGCCTTAAGAGGAAACAAAAATAAAACATGATAATTACAATTTCAGTACATACATTCTGAAACAACATACTAATTTCCTAAACTGAATTTTACTGTTTTATCTGTAACACACATCTAAAGAAATTATATGAATATAAAGAAAATACCTTAGACCCACAGAAAATAATTTCAAATGGGTTATTATCAGATTTCAGTTTATGAGCCTAAAATCTGAGCTTGTCCAAAGAAATACACACATGCATATACATAAACACATACATATAACAACCATGGTTTATATTTAAATTACCTTGTAGAATCGACATTAACTTTAAAGATAGACTGCTAAACAAAACATAACATAATTCTATTTAAGAAAGAATGAGTGATTTCATATAAAAAAGAGGTCTTGGGCCAGTGAGATGACTCAGGGTAAAGTTGCTTGCTGTGAAACCTGATGACTTGAATTTTATCCTGAGGAACTACATAGAAGGAAAACCAACTAGTATTGCTTTGTATTCCAGCTGTAGCCCCCTCCCCCATTCCCTCCTAATCCCACTCTCCCTCCCTCTTCTTTTCCTATGCAGTCCCCCAGTCCAATGATAGGGGACCAAACATAGATTGCTTTTATAGCTGCTTATAGATTTGGAGTTTATTTTTTTCATGTATGAGTACTCCCTGTTTATGAAGTAATATGATGAAAGTTTTAGTTATACTAGCTTGTAGGAATTTTTACATTTTAAAACCAAATAGTATTGTCCTATGACTAAAACATGTGCCTCCCTCCCACACAAACAGATAAATGTAAAATAAAAACAAATTGTTTTTAATGTTTTAAATGAAGAAGTCTCCTTAAAATATTCATATTAACATATTACATGAAAAAAATGAAAATGTGTTGCCAAATTACCTTAGCAAAAAGTAGAGAAAAAAATTCTGTTATGACTGTGATCAAAAATATCTTCAATATTAAGAAAAGAGATTAAAAAATCATAAAATGTCTATAAGACTATATATCCTTAATAATAAATTGATTAATGTAAACATGCAACAATTAACTAGCATTCAGCTCCAAAAAAGCAAAACTCATCAAATGTTTGAGAGTTTCCCAATTGTTAAAAGAAACCATCAGTGGTTCATATATCCATCAAAAGGCAAATTCTTAAAAAAAAAAAAAAAAAATGAGGATGTTAGGAGAATATATAGTTCCTGGAAACTTTTTATATTACTGAAGTGTGATATGATATGACTCTGATGTAAGTCTGGTTAGCAATTTTCAGTTAACTTCAAAGGGAAAAAAGAAAAGGGGTGATGGAAATATTCTGCATCTTCATCTGAGTACTGCTCTCAAGGTGTACAGAGAACCTTCATCTGAGTGCTGTTTCCAATCATATGGTCAGTCGAGCTGGATTCTTAAATATTTGGGCACTTTGCAATATGTCATTATAACTTAAGTGCCACAGAAAGAAAAATTTTAAAAATGAGGTAGGTATTTTATTAGACATACTGGGGGGAAAAAAACCTCAATAAACAGAAAAGCAGATTTAAGAAAATTACCCAAAAAAGCATGAACAGATCTCAAAATACTGAATATTAAACAGTAAAAGACACAAAATTTAAAATAAGAGACCTTATAGATTAGAGCTCTAGAAAAAGTGATCAGAACTTTGGTTTCTAAGTGAGTACCCTAGTAAGGGAAACAGGCGCTGTCTCTGACATGAACTCAGTGGCTCTTTGATGATCTCCCCGAGGTGGGCGAACACTCTTACCAGGCCACGGAGGAAGACAATGCAGACAGTCCTGACGAGACCTGACAGGCCAGGGTCAGAGGGAAGGGGAGGAGGACCTCCCCTAGCGGTGTACTGGGGGAAGGGCATAGGGGGAGAAGAGGGAGGAGGGTGGGAATGGGAGTGGTACTGAGGGAGGAGGCTACAGCTGGAATACAAAGTGAATAAATTGTAATTAATAAAAATATTTTTTTAAAAAAGAACTTTGATTTCTGCTCCAAAATATAAAAGGACTGAAGTACCATTCTTGTCCTTGCACCCCAAACTAGTAATCCAAATTACTGCTGAGTATGTCCTCCATAAGTCCTGCCATTAAGAAAAGCTATTTTCTCCAAATCATAATTTTATTAAGGTTTAACAGATGTAAAGAAAGAAAAATTATTCCACATAGGTCCCTCTAGTTTTCAATAACAAATGGGAAAATATTCAACCAAGGGTCCCTTAAATCCTGCTACCAACTAATAGACCTCTTCTCCCTTCACGTCAACAGTGTATCTTCACAACAAGAGAAGAAATGTTGCTGAAAAAGCTTTTGGTCTTAGACGTTGCTTATGAGTCTTTAGGCAAACAGTTCTAGCCTCTGATACAACAGATAAAAACAAAACAAAACCAAAAAAAAAAAAAAAACAACACAATAAACAAACTTAACAGAAAGACAGGAGGATGACCAATCCATAAAATAGGAAAAAATTATAAAGTATCCAAAGACATTTTTTAAAAATTGACATTAAAGGAGAAACAATTTCCCTTTGGCAATGGACAAAGAGACACCTTGTTGGTGGTGCTGTTCTTATTTCAGTCAGGGGCACAGCAGATGGCAGTTCTTTGTTCATTCTAGCTTTGCTATTTTATGCCTAGAACTCATAAAAATCAAATCAAATCCAGGCAGCAGTGCAGGAGGAGGAAGACAGAGACAGAGACCTGTAGACCCCCATGCCACCCACAGACCTGTCCTCCAGTGCACGGCACAGATAGGCCATAGACACTGGCTTGCTGCCACACCACACAGCAGGGATGGAGGGTATCACCCAGGGGCCCGGCCAACTGCTTGGCCAGGCTGCAGTAGGACCCACAATGTGTGAGTATGTGGTAGACAGATGGGAGAGAAAGAGAAGTGGAACAGCTTGAGCATTATGTATGAAGAGAGATGGAACTGGAGATGAGAAGCCTACTGTGAGTGGCTAGCCCCAACACCTAAGGCTTTAAGGTCCAAGACAGGTGCCATTAAGGAAGTGGCTATGCAGTAGACTAAAGAACATGAGAATATCCCTGGTTAGGACAGACGCCTGAAACTATGAGGATTTACAGGGGCTGTATATACCTGGCCTCAATCCTCACTGGAAGCTGCACTCTGGAGAGCTGGCCCATCTCTCACCAGCAGCACCAAATGGGAGAGCACCTTGACCAGGTGGCAGAACAGAGCTGATCCTGTGGAGGGGGTATGGGTGAGCCATGGCTGAGAGTGTAAGCGAGGGAGCACTGGCCCCACCATTAGTAAAGTGGCCTGGGCAAGGGGGCAATGCCCTTTTCCCCTTCATCCTTTGCCACCTGAGGCAGGAAGGCGAGTGGACCCAGGCCTGGGTCATGAGAGCAAGTGAGCTGGCCCTGCCCCTCACCAGCCATAGCACTGTGGAGGATGGGCCCTGAACCTCGCCTGGAACGCACACCAGTGCTAGCCCTGGTAGAGGGACAGTGGATGAGCCAGCCCTGAGGGCGAGAGTGAGTGCTGGCCCTGCCCCTTGTCTGTCATGAGATGATGGGGGTGCATGGGTGATGTTCCCCCCAGGTGTCCTTTGCCACTTGTGGCAGTTAGGAGAACTAGCCCCAGAGTCATGATAGTGGGTGAGCTGGCTCTACCCCTCACAGTCTGCAACACTCAGGAGAGCAGACCCAGCACTGGGGGTCTGGAAGCTGGCCCTGGGGTTATAAGAACAGGAAAGCTAGCCCACCATCACCACTTCCCTGGCTATAGCACTCAGGAAAGTAGGCCCAGCATCTCTCCTGGGCAACACAGTAGAGCTGGTCATGACACTGATGGCAGAAGTGAGACATCCCTGAGGATGTGAGAGCAGGAGAGCTGGCCCAGCTCTTCATAGGGTGCGGCACATGGGAGAATGGGCCCCACACCTTGACTGGGCAGCACAGTGGACCTGGGTATGGAGGCCTGGGTACAATAAGCCAGCCCCATGGGCATGAGAACAGAGAGCTGACCCTGCCTCCTACTGATGGTGGCATTGATTGGCCTACCCGGAACAGTGCTGGAAAATTCACCCTGGTGGTTCAGATAAGGTAGAGCATGTGGGCTGACCAGCTCTGCTACCACCCAGGCTCAGATCCAAGCCTCTGAATTGACCCACTCCAAAATTTGTATCATCTGCTAATGAATAGAACATGTGATAGGGCCAAGGCCTCCTGTTTCAAAGCTGCAGTGTTTCCATAACACAGGACAACAAGAGGATAACCAGGAGGAGTCTCAATGACAATCCAATATTGATGGTGTCACAAAAGCCAAAGATCTTGAACCAGACCAATGACTCACTGCTATGAACATTTGTAAGTGACGATGTGTCAACAGAAGAATATACTATGGAATACACTGTGACATACTACAGCTTCCCCAATGAGATGTTTTCTATGTCTTGTTTTTGTGCTAGGTTGTTTTATTTTGGGTAGGAAGTGAGATTCCAAAGACAAGTACAGATAGAAAGGACAGGGAGAAGAGCAGGACTGGGGTACATGATGTTAAACTCATACATAATCAAGTTAAAAAAAAAAAAAGACTACTTGAGACACCAGCAAAAGAGTGCAGGAAGTATGGAGAATGTGGAAAAAGAAGATTAAATAAGAATAAAGTAAAATTATGTTTGTATATATACATGAAAAGGCTGTAATCAAGCACTTAACTTTGTATACTAACCTAAAGAAATTTAATAAACAAGTTAATATGATACACAATATATATAAAGAAGTTTACTAAAGGGCATTACTTAACAAAATGTATTGTACTACAAACTAGACCATGATAATGACAAACAGAAGCCCTTAAAAATAAACAATAAAAGAATCAAACACATCTGAAGATAAATAAGAATGGTGACATCTTTCAAAAGCTAAAAACCAACAGAATATATCCCAAAAGGTCATACAAACTACATTGGAGATTTCAAACCTTATTCTCATTTATCAAGAGGGAAAAAAGTAGACTCCCTTCCATAAAAAATATAAAAAAGAGCTTTA